GCGGGGCAACCTTTTAAAGGAATAAATGAACTAGATAGATAGTAAGTAGTAGTATAAATTTGATGGAGTGGAGCCTTGCTCCGTATAGACTGAGCAGTGAGGAGAAGGTATGTTGCACGGTGTGTGCAACTACAATGTGGTTCTACTGCGATATTAAACCTCGGACTACATTGTATTTGGAGTTTCAACTCTCGTATTAGCCAAGTGAATGACCTTGCAATTACGCTTGGGCAAGCTTACTTGGTGCCATAGCTGCTTCACGTCCAATCGTGCTTGCAATCGGCGCGATAGTTGCTTATGAGCATACTCTTCCTATTATCATATTCATTTACCATTGATTTCGGTACTTCCGAATTACTCTCGATTGTGATCAAGATCGGAGTTGTACGGATCGGGACCTGTGACGCCATACCACCAGGCGGGCTTCGCACTCTTCGTCTTTTGGAAGCTGAAGGCATATACGTTGCGGCGCCTGCTGCGTGATCTGACTACATGCACGCTAGGGGTAGGGGCCGGGGGAGAGGACGCTGGTCATGATGTCGTAGATATTGGATGGATTATCAGAATTCCCCACCCGCATCGGTGCGGCAACCTCATAATCCTTCGCCTATCACGACTATACCATGACCTCAACCTCATCCGCAACCTGGATACCCACCAGACTACAGTTGGGCGCCTCCACCACCTCCTCCACCATCGAATCTGTAGGGTTACGACCAGCAACGTGAACCGAACCGACCACCGTCTGCTAACGCCTTCCCTGGACCAGGGAACCGGGCATGGTTTACACGGGAACACCTCGAGTTGATCGAAAAATAGAAGACGAGAGATCACGAAGAAGAAATTGGAAGACTCAAGACACTGGAGAGAGCAGCAGGAGTGGCGCAGTTAAGAAGTCCAAAGGGAAATCAAATTCTAGCTCCGGAGACGGTGAGCAGAACCTCAAGGTTTGGATGGCGAGTAATTTCGGCGTATCATTGAAGAGGATGGCTGAGAAATTGGAAGTCGTCGATAAGAAGACCAAGGATGAGGACGCGCATAGAGAGAAGCTTGTGAAGAAGATTGTGGAACTCGAATGCGGAGCTAAGAAAGGGGAAGGGAGTAGTAGTGAGAAGAGGAAAGGAGTGATGGAAGGGAGTAGTAGTGAGAAGAGGAAAGGAGTGATGGGAGCGAACTCACTTGCTGCCGAACTCTAGAAGCCGAAATCACGATCAACGGAGCGGAGGCGTGAAGATCAGGCAACCACGGATTCTAGTGTCCTCTGATGATGAAGAAAAAGGCAAGAAGGCGCAAAGCGCCATGATTCAAGGGGAAACAAACGTACCAGAGGTGCGGCTGGGGATGATGATGGTGTGAAACTGGACGACATCATGGCGCTACTCGCTCATAGAGAAGAGCGAGGGAATCGGGAGCGTGGAATCCAAGGAGCATTCGGAGAAGGAGAGCGCGATCCTGACCAATGAAACACACAAGGATGAAGAAGAATCCGACAGCGACGAAGAGAAGAAATTAAAGCCGAATAGGAATGCCACATGCCACGTGGGCAAGGAAGTCGGGATTGTCGAATACATGAGGCAAAGGATGGACCACTATATGGTGATGACTGGGAAGAAGGTTAAGAGCCTATGTCGAAAAAGGAACGTAAAGTGGGAAAGAAAAGACAAGAGCGCCTGGGAACTGGCAAAACAAGACACGGACGAGCTCACGAAGCTTATGAATGGCGACGACACCCTCGAATCGGATCCAGGAAAGGATGATGAAGATGAAGATGGGAATAACGATTCGGACAAGGAAGACGACGATGTGACGGGGAACTGAATGTCATCCAGCGTAGCCTGATGAGGCTACTGAGGAAATTGAGCCTCGCAAAGATCGACGCCCAAAGGGAACTGAGACACGATCCGGATGACACGTTCAACATAGGCACGCTTGGGTTCATTAGCTCGGGACGTACATATGTCAAGTATTGGAGAAATCTCCATCATGGCGAGTTATTAAATGATAGTGCTAAGTCTTGTGTCTATCTCCTAATTTCCGCATTCT